TTCCTAAGCATAACTACCGTAAGATGCAAATAATAGACTTACGATAATCCGATATAAAAAATGAAGTTAAAATCTCAGCCATAAACACCGTATGTTCTAACATACGGTATTTTTCATTTGAAGAGCCAGATGTATTAAAAAAAAAGTTAAATTAAACACCGTAAGTTTACTGGGGTTATTTTTTTTATTGTACTTATTTCACTAATTGCACAAAATATTGCATTATAAATATTAAAAACAAAAAGGAGCAAAGAAACAAATTTTATTAATAACGTCGCAACTGGCCGTTTATTCATCTTCAACCGTGCTAATTAGATTTTGAGAACTGCTTACAGGAAGATTTTGCCAGAATGATATTTTATGTTTCGGAATTATGGAGGACAAGTTGGTGAGAATTTGATTTTTTCTCTCGGCAGAAACTCCACGATCAGTGCTATGATTTTCAGGATCTTTTAAAGTAGTTTTTTTTTTTTTGAGAGCATATTTAATTCTTGATAATCATCATCTTCAAATGACGTCTTAAAATACAGACATTTGGAGCCTCTTCTTGCTTCCAAAACTGCGATATCTTTTAAAAGAGGTCAATTTTGATTAAGCTTTTGTAGTTGATAGTTGGTTGTCAGGATAGGCCAATGCTTAAAATCAGAAAAATTCATTTCTTTGGCATAGCTGCTTTTTGTACAGCATCTGAAAAATCTTGGAAATCGTAAATCTTGGGGTTTTCTTTCATACTCTTTTCAACTAAATGGTGAAAACTGTCAGCTGACATAAATGTGTGCCCTGGTTCAAAATATTTAATTATAAGTTTTTCGGCAGCAATGTGATCAGAATTGATTATATAAATTAAATAACTCAAAAAGCACCAGTTTTTATTTTGAGAGCTGCAGTTATCAGCCCACAAACAGACATATTTTTTATCTCTGGCATAACTTTTTAAAAAAACATTATACGCACTTATTATGTCTTCTTTTTTCCGGCCTGATATGCATTCATGCCAAAGAATAGCTACAGCTTTATTTTTTGTGTAAGGGAGCCCAAGGGAACAAACGACTGATTAAAAACAATTATTCTAGGAGTAAAGATGACTTGTTTAAACATATCGATTCTTGGTAACATTATTACCTTTTGCATGTCAGTAGAATAATATAGTGACTCATCATCGTCAATTTTCTTTTTGTCACTTCTATATTCTTTTCTGGACATTTCAGCCTTTTTACTTTCCTATCTGTATACAGATATAAGGAAAGTATAGGAATCATGTTTTTTTTCGACCTCGAGTTTTCGACGGATTTTTACGTTTTGAGGTACCCTGAATCCGTTTTGACTATTTTCGCGATGATGTGTGTGTGTGTGTGTGTGTGTGTGTGTGTGTGTGTGTGTGTGTGTGTGTGTGTGTGTGTGTGTGTGTGTGTCTGTATAACGCATAACTCATGAATCGATACATAGAAAAACACCAAATTTTAAACTTAAGCTTTGTTTCAACGTCCAATGAGCTGATTAGATTTTGGGCAGACTCGGAACATCTGGGGGGGTACTTTATAGGTGGTCATTTTTATATTTTATGGAATATATCTGTTATTTACGTTCGGAGAAGAAAATTCTTCAAATAAAAGTTACTTCTAATATAATTATCTATAATTTTTGTTTTATGCAAAATTTTCCTAAAATGGTCCGTATTCGAGAAATTTTACAAAATGTAAAAAAAATAATTTTTTATAAAAATTGTTCAAATAAAAGTTGTTTGTAATATAATTTTCTATAATTTTTATTCTATACATAATTTATCTAAAATGGACCGTATTCGAGATATTTGAGAAAAAGTGTAAATTTCGAATTTTGAAGAAAACTCAAAAACGGATAAAGAAAAAAACATTAAATTTTAAACTTAAGGTTTATTTCGGCCTGACGTGAAATGATTAGATTTTGGACAAAGTCGGAACATCTGGGGGGGGGGGGGGGTACTTTATGGGAGGCCGTTTTTATATTTTATGGAATATATCTGTTATTAATGTTTGGAGAAAAAAATTGTCCAAATAAAAGTTACTTCTAATATTATTATCTATAATTTTTGTTTTATGTAAAAATGTCCTGAAATGGTCCGTATTCGAGAAATTTGACAAAATGTGCAAAATTCTGATTTTTATGAAAGTTTTTGAAATAAAAGTTGTTTGCGATATCGATCTCTATAATTTTTGTTTTTACATGATTTTTCTAAAATGGACCGTAATGAAAAAATTGTAGGAAATTTAAATTTTTCAGTATTTTCGTTTTCCATGAATATCTATAAAAAAATGTTTCGAGGTAGATGTATGTGGACAATGTATATATTTATTTATCCTCTAAACATTTATAGAGATGCTGCAATAGGTTGTACAAAATAACCGGAAAAGCCTATAATAACTAGATAGGAAAGTCATGTGTTGGACACATCAGATTTTTTATATGCTCCAGCCACTGCAAGCATTTGTCACAATCAGTATTCTGGTCCGCATTCTGTGTATGACCATTTCCGTGCAACAAAAACACCTCACATTTTTCGCATTCTTCATGCCCCAATTTTGTAAATGAGATATTCATATCTTTAATTACTCTTCTGTATAATTCATAAGAAATTTGTAGTTCTGGATGACATTCCTTAAAATTTGAAAACATCTTAATTACCGTGACGTCACTTGGTAGGTACAATTTATTAGGTGCATGCTCACGCCTATAATGTGATACACAAGGATAGAATTTTTTAATGTGAGTTTGAATTATGTCTCTGTCCACCCTTTTTTTTTGTATAAGACCCACGTCTGTCCTTAGTGGGTGGACTGCTAATATTTCGTAATATGGAATCGTTGTTTCCTGCATATCCCAAAGTCGTCAAAAAGAAGATTTTGCAAACTTCCAATCGTTCACCATCTTCTTTTTTAAGAAAATATCTCTTTGGTGAATGTTTTCTAGAGTCATTTGTGTAGCCTGGACGTCTAGTTTTTACAGTGGACACGTCTATAAAATGACTTAAAAAAACTTTTTGATCTGTAAAAGATTTTTTCCAGTACTTTCTATTAACTTCTAAGCGCCGAGCCCCTACAATTTGGACTGAATACTGTTTTGTACACTTACATGGGGGCTTGACTTCGTGGTTTTTTACTGTATTTTCAAACAAAAATCTCTTCCTCTCCTTTTTTGATGTCACATACTTTTTTCGTTTTCTAACTTCTCCATTTTTTGTTAATGATGGGTCTATATCCAAAAGGTTTTCTAAAAAAAAATAATACAAAATTAAAGTTATTTTGTCTCAATTAATCGACTTCCCGAATTACCTGCGTTAATGTCTTTAGCACCTTCGTTTTGCTCCTTGTTTATGTTGTTAAAATTTTGGTCACCAAGAATCTCTAAAATATAAAAAAGTAAAAAAAAGATCAAAGAATAAGTAAAAGACCAAACATACGTTCTTCTGGTGCCTTGATATTTACATCTTGTGAGTCTTTTATTAGATTTTCATCCTCCAACAATTCTAAAATATCAAAAATAAGTTAACATACTTAGAATTTAAGTTGAACTCTCTGTCATTTAGTAAAACACAAAAATACCTTCTTGTACATCCATGACATTGTCGTCTTGTGACTTGTTGTTAGAAGTATCTTTTTGTATAGCATTTTCGTCTTGTGACTTAATACTGACCTCTTCATTAGTTTTATCTCCCAAAAACGCTGAAATATAAAAAAAATTGTTAAAAAGTCAAAACTAAGTTATACTCTCTAATATATTTAGTAAAAACATTCATTTAAATATTTTATTAAATATCTCAAAAATATCTCTATCAAATATTAAATCTTACCCTCATTAATGCTTTTTGAAAAATCACCAACATGTAATATTTGACATAATTCACTTGAACTGATGTCGACAGAATTTTCATCAATAAAACTCTGTGATATTAACGGCTCCATGTTTTCATCTACCAACAAGATATCACTGATCCGGAAGGTATCGTTTTCAGTCTTACTACTGTTTCGAGAATTTTCCTCTAAATCACTTTGAGAACTATTTAAGGCCTGGAGGACCATTCGTTTAGATCTCGACCCCATTTCGTTTGTAAATTATAAAAATACCACAAAAACAAAACAATGCATGCGTACTTGCCGACTACTTAAACGCAACTGAGGACTGAGGAGCTGATTTCGCTCTAATAACTAGCCAAGAACACCGTACGTTAAAACATACGATACAATATGTAAGTCTGGTACAAAGTGGTAGTGGTTACTAGCCATAAATAACGTATGTTACGAAATTTATTAAACAAACGGCTCTTTTGCTTTGTAATTTTGAAATTACACAGGCACATACGTGATATATTGACACTTACGACTTTTATTCTATGTAATATGGAGATTTTTTCTTAACACGTACAAATCGTCTAATTTTATTTAATTATTTAAAAAAATATTTTTCAAAAAAAAAAAAAAAATATTTTTATGCAAAAATAGATAATGTTTATCATTAAAAATTCAAAAAACATAAAATCTCATTTTTGAAAAAATCAACATACGGTGTTTTTCTGTTGGACGGCAGTATTTACATATTCCCAAAAACCATAATCAATAAGGAAACTTTCAGGTAGCATATTAACTGACTCTTTCAAGTTTTTCAATATTTATGTTTGATTGATATACTACTAATAAGCAATAAGCAACATCTGCTGAATAGCCAGTCTCTGACATAAAAAATGTTAACAAATAGCTTGGAAATATTTCACAAAATTATTTTTTTTTTTGTAAATATTTTGGTCGCAATACCATTCACAGAAGGGAAAAGGCCCATAACCTTTGTTAAGTATTGGAAACGGTAACTTCGGGAAAGATAAATTATTCTATTTTAAACGGAAGAGTATATTAACAAAACAAAAATTATATTTGACAGAAACTTTTTTATTTTTATTATTATTACAGGGTAATTTTTCAACATTTATTTATTTATTTCTAAATAATTGATATTATTTTTCAATTTTTTAGTTTGGAAGAGAAATTTAATCAGACATTTAGTGTATTCATGTTTACTCACATGGTAATGGCGGCTATTATTATGGGTTATGGAGTATATTCCTTCATGAAGGTACATTTTTAATTATATTTTATGAAGCAATAGTTATATTAAGAAAAATATTTTTTGTAGACAAAAAATTTTTCTACATTTCTAGTAGCAATTGGTTGGCTAATTGCTTTGTTTATGGACTGTAGAGGTGGACAGAGGATTCAAGATGAAGTAATATTTTTTAATTTAATATATAATTATTTATTTGCTCTTTAGGCCTTGGAGGCTTACACTAAATTATTTACAATTTATATTAATATCTCTTAATTTAAGTTCATTTCTTAAATTTTACCAAGTGTTCCCGAGTATCTTTTGCACTATTGCCCACCATTTGTCTCTGTATTTTCTTGTATTTATTGTCTTTGGATCTTCTTCTGTATTATTGATCCATTTCTTAGTTGGCCTAGCCTTTCTATTTTACCTATTATCTTTCTTCTTAGTATTAATTTGGACAGTTTCCCACGATTTAAACTTTCTAGATGTCCCAGCCATCTTACCCTTTGCGCTTTGGGGACTACTATAATATGGGGTTCTTGGTCCTGTGTCGTATACATTCTCTATTTGATTTCATACAACTTTTTAAATTCCGTATTTCTAATTTTCTTTTGAAATTCTAAGAAGGTACTTAGCATGCGAGCTAATGCCTTTGCGTTTCGATGTATCAAGTTATTTATCAGTTTACTTGTCAGTGTTATTTTACATAGTTTAATTGTCAGTTATACTTTGAATATATGCCAATTTGGATTTTTCTCGTTTTGCCTTATTTTACTTATCATTGCTCAACTTATCCTGCTCAACACATTTATAGTTCTTCACATTTATTTTCCTATATAGTTGCTCCTCGATAAACTGTTTTTTTGTTCTCTCGAAAGTAGTTTTTGTTGTTTGTATGTTTGTAGTAAAGTTAGGTTTATATCTTTCTACAAAGTTCACTTAGTTTATTCCACTATCATATATTTTGTTTCAATTTTAATTTTTTCAAGATCGAATTTCTCTAGTTTATTTGAAAATAATTGATAGCAACATTTTTATGACGCAGGAGATAAACCCTAATTTAACATCATAAATCTGTGACGGAGAATTTCTTAAATATAACGTTTATCTTTATTTATTCCAAAACAAAAGCTTTGGTTTTCTTCCTAAAATTTTTAATAATACCAATTTATTTAAATTTCTAGTCATTTTAATCAACAAACATAAGATAATTTTGGAGTGAGGGTAGCCATATGTGAGTAGTAGGGATTAAGTGTAAGGGGTACACTTAAACATAAGGTAAGTATGTAATCTCTGTGACGGCCCAACTCCCGGTACCCCCTATTTTTTTCATTATTTTGCCTTCTGAGATGTTATTTACCTCACAAGTTTATTTTACGTTAATTTATACTTACTGTATTTGGTCTTTTTCCTCTAGTAGTAAAAGTGATCGTCTAGTTAATTAATTGATAATTTATATACCCACGTTGTGATAATGTTAATTAAGGTAAACCAAAATTCCATGCAAAGTTAGATGCAAATTGATAAATAAAACATACAAATTTATATTTAAACTCTTTTTATTTTTCATACTGTAAATGTGATGCAATAATTAGCAAAGCATATTACAATTATTGGTACTATTTACTGAGATATTACTTGGTTCCGTTCAAACGCAGACCATATTCATTTGCTATCAATACATATTTTATTTAGGTTGATGACCAACGGAGGTAACGAACAGCGCTGATTCGCCAGTTGGTTAACTACTGTGTTGATGTTAATTTGATTCTATTCTAGATATACACAGGTTGCACCCACTTAGATAAATATTTCGACGAGTATAGAGGTGATGACCAACGGAAGTAACGAATATCGCCAATTCGCCAGTTGGTTACTTTACTATGTTGATTTCACATATACTTTGTTTCAAACCTTGTAGGATGGGTGGCTTAGCATATAGGTATTCCTCCTTGAGATAACGAACAGTGTATTCACCAGTTGGTTAACTTACTATTACATTTTACCATCTTGGTTTGTACAATTTATTCAAGATAGCACATCCCTGTATATTTCTAAACATTTATTATTATAAATTCTATTGAAATGACTTAATGCAACCCTGTATATATTTCTTAATATTGATTTTGCGCCAACCTTATTTTAGGATGATATATTAGTTTGTAACACTTGAGAAAGAGATACGCATACCTGACTTCGTTGAGACAGTTTTTGTTTATATGTATTTCATTCGCTTTTGGTCTGTGGCCGTTATACCATAAAATCTTACTTAAAATTGGATATCGGTGTTTTATTCGATTGACCTCAACCCCGACTCCAAAAATATTATTTTAAGAGAAGGCAGTGGCGTCCAGTACGGACGCCACTGTTGGAAATAAAAAAACGTTTTTTAGGTCCAAAAATGTACCAAATTTCATAAAAATATTTAAAGTTGCATGAAAATGACTAAAAAATTGTTTTTTTTTCCTAAAACTTTAACACCTTGTCTCTTAAAAGTTAAGACGTTTAGGACATACCTTCATATGAAGTTTTTTTTCTTAAAATAGGTCCAAGAATCACCACCTTAACTATTACCATGTTATTAAAAAAACCCTTATCGAAATCCCATAACAAGATCTACTGTAAGTTGCCGCATTTTTAAAAAACACCCTGTATAAATATATTTTTATACGTTTTATTCGTTTGGTTATTAACCAGGTTTCGACGGCTAATGTTTTTATAGTGGTTTTATTTAGCTATTTTTTTGCGGTCACCCGCAAAGGCCATACATTGATGTTCGTTATTAAATATTAGATTTATTATATAGTAACTTCAAATAAGGCCTACCTTCATACCTACATACTAATGTATCCTGGGTAGCTCTTCTTGAATTCGAGGGAATAGAAAACCGGTTTTACCTCTTTATCTGCAACGCGTGAAATTTGTATTTTTGTCTCATTCTTCCCTCAAAATTTCTACTCCCTGAGATTCAAGAATAGATACCCTGTAGAAGTGTGTAATTTAATAGATAAACAACGTCACCCGTTCGTGTCGATTTCAAGCTTCAACACTGGCTTCAGTCCATGCAATACTTATTTCTTTTAAAACATCCACTATCGTATTCTTGATGATAGGGTTTCGTTAAACTTATTTTATTAAAAAAAAGTAATTGAGCTACTGAACATATCTAGTTTATTACTATGCCGATTTTTAGTGTGAACGTGTAAGATTAGCCATATACAATACAAACTGGTTAGATTGTGATAAAGAAATGAGAAGAGATCTTTTATTTGTTCTAAGAAGATGTGATAAATCGATGGTTGTAAAAGCAGCTGCCTTTGGAATTATGGACCATCCAACGTTTCTAGCAGTAAGTATATACAGCATTAACAAACTGAACAGTTGAAGAAAATGTTTAAGGCGACATTTTAATTCTACCCAATGTAGACTTTTGAGCCGTTACATATCACAGGTCCGTATTTATATCAGCTGAGTCGAACTTGGGTAAGTCGTTCTTGAATTAAAATTCAAAGTTCGGTTAAAATGTCTCTAAGTTCCGGTGTTACACTGTAATTTAAAGATGGATATTAGCAAATATGTAACTGTTAAGTACATTTACAGATTTGTTACTACCCATCTCTAAATTCACGCGACATAATCTAACTTCGATTTTCGTTCAAGGACGACTTACCCAAGTCCGACTTAGGTGAGTTCTGTTTATAAATACGGACCTAAGACACAAATCTCCTTTCGTAAGGTATTTTGCCCAAATCTATTTTCTCTAAGTTCGCTCGTTGGTGATTATAATGGTCCGGGAGGTAATGACAGATTTCAATAAACCATTTTCGCAAGCTTTATTTTTTGAATATGAGTTATTTAAATAGCATCTAACAGTAAAATCATCGTCTTCCATTCCAGTTGTACGACAGGGGGTTACGGGAGGGTTGCAAGTTCAGTAAAAAAAATCATTTTCGCATGGATGAAACTTGGTGTACACGTTGATATGAACATAAAAATATTAGAAAATGTCTTCCACCTGAATTGTACAACAAAGTACGCCTTCCATCCACATAAATAGGCGTAAAAAAATAATAAAAAAAAATTATAGTCGCAAAGGTGAAACTAAGTGTAATGCTTATTTTTATAGTGAGAAAAATAAAAATAATAGTCTTCCACCAATAAAACACAACGAAGATCGTCTTCCAAGCTGATAAAGGTTTTCTCGACAGCTAGAACGTAGTATCTTTACGTTTTCGAAAAATGATCATTGGTGTAAAATTTTAAAAGAACTATTACGAAGTTAATATTTATGTTTTTAAACGTTTTTCAAATTTTAAGAGAAAAGAAACAAAATTCAAAAAGTATTAGGTACTACAATGACAGAGATAAACCTAGTTTAATTTAAAACATACTCACATATCTACTTTTAAATTTAATTTTATTAAAATACAAAAAATATACATCAAATCTCAAATCATTCTTTGGCCATATAGGATATTATTAAAAAAAATTATTAATTAAAATTTTTTGCAAAATAACTACCTCTTTGAAGAAAAATATTAAAAATAGAACACAATGAAGAATTTATAAAATTCTTTAATAAATTTCAAAATAGACTGATCTTTCAAATTTTTAAAAACCAAATATATTGAACTTTTGTAGTATAAATGAAATGAAATAGCTTAGCACTAGTTCCAGATAATATTGGCTAGAATGGCTAATGATATTGAAAATTTAATTAATAACGGTCAAACACGCTTAAAGAATAAATATGATGGAAATCCACCAGTAGCAAAATTTGATTTGACACCCACTGCAACAAAACCCTTTGAACACATACATTTAGATATATTTTACATTTCTAGTAAATCATATTTGACTATAATTGATTCTTTTTCACGATATGGTCAGGCTTATTCCCTAGATTGTATAACAGGGATATCAGTCGTAGAAAAACTCTTTTTCACATTTCACATCTCGGACTACCACAAAAAATTACTACCGACAGTGGAACAGAATTAAAAAATTTCGATGTAAAAGATTTTTGTAAACTACACCATATCCAACTATAGATCACTACTGAAAAAAAAATAATAATTTAAATTCCACAGTGGAACGGTTTCATTCAAGTTTATTAGAACATTATAGATGTTTACAAGAAGAAAACAAACATTTCACACCAGATCGACTAATTAAAAAATCTGTATTTTGTTATAATAATATTCAGTAACAAAGTTCACGCCATTTGAAATAATTAAAGGACACATTGATAATCAAGGATCACTTAATAATTTCTAATTATGTACAAGATCATAAATAAATTAGTAAACAGATATATAACAATATTAAACAACGTAACGAAGAAGTAAAAGAAAATTTAATAAATAGAGATCTGAACTAGATAACTATTCCAATCAAAATTCATGTTTCGTCAAAACAAAATCAAGCAGTAAAAAATTACTACGAAGATCGAAAAATAATTTATAAAAATTGTTACAGGATACCAACGAAAATGAAATCCATTTTGATAACGACGCTGTTCCAAGTATAAGTTCTACACGTCATTTATGTATACCAAATACATAGTACATCTTCTGATATACAGATCACTCCGATTGAAAATTTTATGCTTCCTATTCAGTTAGGAAACGCTAAACTTATATATTTCAAACATACATTTTTACATTACTTAGATTTAGAAGAAGTAGTTAAATAAGTTAATAATTTAGTTAATCATTTTGAATCGATAAAACATAGTATAGTTCATGTTAATGCAACTAATCCTATATCTTATAGCTTATCGCAAAATATGTTAACAAGAACAGAATATCTAATAATTACTCTTCAGAAAAAGATTAATAATTTAATTCCTTATGTAAGACATAAAAGAGCTCTAATAATAAATGCAATTGGAAAAATTAACAAATGGGTACTTGGGAATCTTGATTCTGATGACGAAGAAGGATATTAATACTATCAAAACATTACAAGTAAATCAAAAAAATATTATCCGTGAAACAAATCTTCAAATTTCGTTGTACAAAAGGTTTGTTAATCATCATAATAAATCAATCACAATCTTAAGCATAATTCAAGAAAAATTTAAAGTTGATATGTAAAAAATTCAAGCAGCTGTTTATAATAGAATCGATATACTTGAAAGTTATATTAGTTTTCAGGCTATTATATCACAAATTGATTTAGATTATCAAATGGCAATTTATTTTATAGATAATTAGAAAATGCCATAACCTTTGCAAAATTTGCAAAAAAACATTATAAAATATTTACATAAAATATATAATGTTGATCAAATTCCGAAATCTACAAATTTATTAACGTATTATCAGTTCTTAGGAACGCAAGTATCAATTTCAAGTTAATTTTTGCAATACATTTTCCTATTTTTAACAGCAATACATTTGAATTTTATCATTTATTCCCAATTATCCAAAACCAAAAAATATATACACCTTTATTCCCCTATTTGGCACGAAAACATCAAGATATACAGTTTGAACGAGGAGAATGTCCATCCCTTGAAGAAATGTATTATTGTCTACAGAATTTCATCCCCAGAGATAATAGTACTCACCAACTTCTTGAAAGAAAAACTTTGTAATATTTTGAATCTTAATTTAGAAGAATCAGTATTCGAATAAATCGGAGTCGATGAAGTCTTATTAATCCCGTCAAAACCTGAACAAATTCTTTCAAAATGTAACAGTAACCAGTATATCTACATAGGGTCACCTGTATTAATCAAAATACCAAAATCTTCAAAATCTCATCAATTTTCTTATATCTATACTAAATTAGAATTTAATGATTTATATGAAATTAATCAAATTTCTAAACAATTAATGGCAATTAAAGAAATTCAAAATAATTTTAATTATTTAAGGACTTTTGGAACAATTTTTGCAATTTTTATTTTCATAATTATTTTAATACTAATTAAATATAGAAGACAACTTTTAAGAAGATATGGAAGAAAAAAACGAAGAAATTGAATTAGAAAATCCCTCAGAAGATGTTTTGAAAAATAACTACATATTTTTTAAAACTTAAGCAGGGAGGAGTTATATATTGTGAAAATAATCGCTTCTTTTATGTCATAATTAAATTATCTTTGCTAAATAATCATTTTTACTTTCCTATCTGTATACAGATATAAGGAAAGTATAGGCATCATGATTTTTTTCGACCTCGAGTTTTCGACGGATTTTTACGATTTGAGGTCCCCTGAATCCGTTTTGACTATTTTCGCGATGATGTCGGTGTATGTATGTATGTGTGTGTGTGTGTGTGTGTGTGTGTGTGTGTGTGTGTGTGTGTGTGTGTGTGTGTGTGTGTGTGTGTGTGTGTGTGTGTGTGTGTGTGTGTGTGTGTGTGTGTGTGTGTGTGTGTGTGTGTGTGTGTGTGTGTGTGTGTGTGTGTGTGTGTGTGTGTGTGTGTGTGTGTGTGTGTGTGTGTGTGTGTGTGTGTGTGTGTGTGTGTGTGTGTGTGTGTGTGTGTGTGTGTGTGTGTGTGTTGTGTGTGTGTGTGTGTGTGTGTGTGTGTGTGTGTGTGTGTGTGTGTGTGTGTGTGTGTGTGTGTGTGTGTGTGTGTGTGTGTGTGTGTGTGTGTGTGTGTGTGTGTGTGTGTGTGTGTGTGTGTGTGTGTGTGTGTGTGTGTGTGTGTGTGTGTGTGTGTGTGTGTGTGTGTGTGTGTGTGTGTGTGTGTGTGTGTGTGTGTGTGTGTGTGTGTGTGTGTGTGTGTGTGTGTGTGTGTGTGTGTGTGTGTGTGTGTGTGTGTGTGTGTGTGTGTGTGTGTGTGTGTGTGTGTGTGTGTGTGTGTGTGTGTGTGTGTGTGTGTGTGTGTGTGTGTGTGTGTGTGTGTGTGTGTGTGTGTGTGTGTGTGTGTGTGTGTGTGTGTGTGTGTGTGTGTGTGTGTGTGTGTGTGTGTGTGTGTGTGTGTGTGTGTGTGTGTGTGTGTGTGTGTGTGTGTGTGTGTGTGTGTGTGTGTGTGTGTGTGTGTGTGTGTGTGTGTGTGTGTGTGTGTGTGTGTGTGTGTGTGTGTGTGTGTGTGTGTGTGTGTGTGTGTGTGTGTGTGTGTGTGTGTGTGTGTGTGTGTGTGTGTGTGTGTGTGTGTGTGTGTGTGTGTGTGTGTGTGTGTGTGTGTGTGTGTGTGTGTGTGTGTGTGTGTGTGTGTGTGTGTGTGTGTGTGTGTGTGTGTGTGTGTGTGTGTGTGTGTGTGTGTGTGTGTGTGTGTGTGTGTGTGTGTGTGTGTGTGTGTGTGTGTGGTGTGTGTGTGTGTGTGTGTGTGTGTGTGTGTGTGTGTGTGTGGTGTGTGTGTGTGTGTGTGTGTGTGTGTGTGTGTGTGTGTGTGTGTGTGTGTGTGTGTGTGTGTGTGTGTGTGTGTGTG